GCTCCGGGGAAGACGGGGCTCCGGGGAGGGCGGGGCTCCGGGGAGGGCGGGGCTCCGGGGCAGGGCAGCTCCGGGGAGGGCGGGGCTCCGGGGAGGGCGGGGCTCCGGGGGCAGGGCGGAGCCTCCTTCCCAGGCCTGTCGGTTTCTCCGCCTCAGGCCTGGAGGGCAGCAGCCCCGCCGTCCCTCACCTCGGGTGGGGGGAGGGGGGGAGAAGACCACCACTCCGGGGTGCCAGCCTCGTTTATTGGACGGGCCGCGCGCCCGGTGCCCGCCCTCACAGCTGCTGCGAGGCCAGCACCTCGGGGTTCTCGAAGCAGTGAGCCTCTTTGACCGCAGCCTTCTGGGGGCAGCAGCGGGTCACCAGGCCGTCCCAGGGCTCCAGAGAATGAAGCCACAGGGGCAGCCAGTCCCAGGACCGAAGGCAGGGGGGCAGCCAGGACGGGCGGCGCCGCTGCAGCACATTGACCAGGATGATGAGCAGAACCAGGCCCACCAGGGGACCCCCGACCCCCGCCAGCACCGCGCTCCCCGCCAGGGAGAGCCCGAAGACGGCCAGGGGCAGCAACAGGAAGGCCAGCAGCAGATAAGCAATGGCCACCCAACGGTAGTGGGCCGTCAGGTCCCCAAAGTGCTTGGCCAGGGGGATGGGTAGCCTCAGGACCGGCACCGTGTACCACAGCAGGATGCCAGCCAGGTTGAAGAAGAAGTGGATGAGAGCCACCTGGGAGGCAAGGAGGACAGGGAAGGGTGGAGAGCTGGGCCAGGCTCCTTTCACTCCTCCCTGTCTCCAGTCTGAAGTTTATCGGGCGTGACCGGCTCAGAGGCTGATAGGGACTGCCTGGGAGATTCTGGCCACAACTCTCCCACATGCAGTTCAGAAAGCAGGAGCCCCGGCAGCACCCATCCATATGTAACGGGATAAGGGAGAGGAGGTCGCAGCACATGTGCAGGAAACACAGGCACTCAAAGAGTGGGTGTAACCTAGGACCCTGCAGTGCGAGGGTCCGTGGACAGAGACGGGACAGAAATGAAGACACCACCTAGACAGGAGGAGTTAGACAGGGGAGGCTCTCCAGCAGAGAGAAGCTGGAGCCAGGGCAGGGACCAGAGATGGGGTGCTGTTGAGAGTTGGCAGCACTCATGGGACTGGGACTGAGCCACAGAGCTGGGCACCCTGGAGAAAGCTTTCTGCAAATGGACTAGGACCAGGCACTGGTGGCACACCTGTCACCCTAGCTACTCAAGAAGCCAAGATCTGAGGATTGTAGTTCAAAGCCAGCCCAGGCAGGAAAGTCTGAGAGAGACATCTCCAGTTAACCATCAAAAAAGCCAGAAGTGGAGCTGTGTGGCTCAAGTGGTAAAGCACTAACCTTGAGCAAAAAAGTTCAGGAAGAGTGCTGAGGCTCTGAGTTTAAGCTCCAGGAACAGCACACACACATACACACATGACACGCACGCATACATCCACACCCCTGGACTAGGGTGGATTGGAGGTTTCCCCGGGGTGTGGAGGGCTGTGGGCAGCCTGGCCCATGCTACAAAAGCAGTCTGGGAAAGGAAGGACAGAGACTGGGCTGTGGGAGGCCTGCAGGGCCTTGTGGGCGGCGGGCCTGTTTGCTGGGACCATGTGGGCTGTGGCCATCCTGGGCCAGGTTGGAAGTGGGGCTATGGACAGGGAGGGGGCCAAGGACAGTACCTGGACTGCAAAGAGCAGCATGTCTGCAGGGCTGGCCAGGGCGGCCAGCAGGGCTGTGGTGGTGGTACCAATGTTTGAGCCCAAGAAGAGGGGGTATGCGCGGTCCAGGGTAATGACCCCGACGCCTAGGAAGCAAGGGGTCACCACAGGGCCCCAGCCCCAGTCCCCCCTCAGGCCCCCTGCCCACCCAGGCTCACCCATGAGCGGCACAATGGCAGCGGTGAAGACGCTGCTGCTCTGCAGCAGGAAGGTCAGGCCAGCGCCCACAAGGATGGCCAGGTAGCCGCTCAGCCAGCCGAAGGGAAAGGGAAAGTCTGGAAGGCAGGGGCGAGGTCATCCCCAGACCCCCTCCCCGCCCTCTTCCCAGCCTGGGGTCCCTCCAACCTGCGTTGATGACTGTCCTCACAGCCTGCGCGATTCGGCCGCGCAGCAGCGAGTTGAGCAGCTTGACAATGATCACCAGGCAGGCACAGAGCACCAGCAGGGAGCCGGCTAGCAGGATGCAGCCCACGGCCACATCCGTGAGCGCCGAGTTCACAAAGAGATGATGGCCTATGGCCAGAAGGACAGGGCAGTGGTGTGACCTCAGGGCGATGTGGGGGTCAGGGAAGGGGGGCTTGGACCTCAGGGTGATGTGGGGGTCAGGGAAGGGGGGCTGGGACCTCAGGGCGATGTGGGGGTCAGGGAAGGGGGGCTGCAGGGCGATGTGGGGGTCAGGGAAGGGGGGCTGGGACCTCAGGGCGATGTGGGGGTCAGGGAAGGGGGCTGGGGTGGGGGTGGCGGGCCTCACAGGGCAGCTTGTCCCCAGGGAAGGCTGTGCTGTTCCTCTCAGGGCAGTGGCCGGAGACCTCACATTCCTCGCCATCCTCCTGAGTGAGTCAGGACCAGGGAGAACTCAGACCAGGCCTTGTCTACACAGAGGTCCAAGCTCAAGGGTGGGTGGGGCAATCAACAGGTCAGAGGACAAAGGAAGGGCTGGGGTCAGAGGCACCTCACCGTCTCAGCCCTGATGCCACACCACTGCTTAATGAGGCTGTCGTTGGTGGCGCTTCCGGTGGCGCTGCCTGTGATGGCGCTGCTGTCCAGCTGGCGGGTGGGGGACGAGACCGCGTGCCGGGCCCCCAGAGTCAGACTGGCCCTGCCCATGTATGCTGCTGCTCCCCAACCAACCTTGGGTCCAGATCTCCTCGGCGTCCCGTTGGGGTGGGGACTCCCTGCCCTGGGGCGGTGGACAACTCCTCACCTGCACAATGAGGTGCGTGAGAGGCTGGGTCAGCGCCTTGAGGATGTCGGGGGCCTGCTGCCCGGGCTGGAGGCTGGCAGCACGCAGCGCCAGCCCACTCAACCTCTCCAGGGCGGCCGTGGCGCTCTCCAGAGGCAGCAGGACCAGTACAGTGAGCCAGTTAAAAATACCGTGGACAGCAGAGCCACTGAAGGCCCTGGGGACACAGAGCATGGCTGTCAGGCGGCCTCGGCCTCCTCGAGGTCCCCGGGCCTGGGTCCCTGTCACCCACTCACCTCCGGAACTCATCTCGGTCCCCAGACTGTGCCATGGAGACCAGAGTGCTGGTGATGGACGTGCCCACGTTGACGCCCATGGTGATGGGCACCGACGCCTTGACAGTCAGCACTAGGGACACCTGGCTGATCAGCACGGGGTGGGGTGGGGCCCGCCCCACCCCATGGGGGGGAGGCACACTCACACTTGGAGGCCACCATGCTGACCACAATAGAGGAGGACGTGCTCGAGCTCTGCACGAGGACTGTGACCAGCACACCGATGACCAGTCCAGCCACAGGGTTGGACAGCACCTTGTTGTCCTTGAAGATATCTCCAGCCATTTTGCCTGCACCCAGGACAGAGGGGCAGTGAGGCTGGGGAGGGCGGGCTGCCGCCCCCACCCCGGGCACACCCAGACACTCACTGCCCAGCAGCTGGAAGGCAGAGCTGAGGATGTCCAGGGCGCAGATGAAGAAGTAGAGGCTGCCTAGGAGCCCACAGGCCTTAAGGAAGATGGTGATCACCTGGCGCAGCCTGCTGGCCATGCTGAGTTCTGTGGTCACAGACAAGGCTGACCCCACCACCCAAGGCTCTGCTCTGTTCCCCAGCGATGAGGCTCAGGTCTCCTTTGTCAGTCCGCAGGCAGAGTACTGCCACTGCCTTCTGCCTCCTTCAACACAGCCCCATTTACCAATCTTATTTTTGCCAGTCCTGGGGCTGGACTCGGCCTGGGCGCTGTCCCTCAGTTCTTCAGCTCAAGGCTAGCACTCTACCACTTGAGCCACAGCGCCCCTTCCAGCTTTTTTGCTTATGTGGTGCTGAGGAATTTAACCCAGGGCCTCAGGCATGCAAGGCAAGCGCTCTACCACTGAGCCACCTTCCCGGCCCCATTTACCGATCTTAAGCTTCCCATGTCAAGGACTAGGTCCCCTTTCTGTCTCCATGCCTGTGCCTTTGCTCTGTGATGGAGCCCAGCTGGGCTCCCAGAGATGGAGCAACCATAGGGGGCAGGGTGGGGATTGGGGGGAAAGTAGGGAAGGGGGGGCCCTCCAGCCCCACACAGGGCTCAGAGGTGGTGGGTGAATTTTCATGGGGAGTGTTCCAGCAAGCCTGGCTCTGAAACCCTGGGGAGGTGGAGCCTGCCTGCCCGCTGCCCTGCACACCCACAGCCCTACCTTTCCGCTGGCCAGTGTCCTTTGGCTGGGGGTCCAAGCCTCCCTCCTCCAGGCGCCCTGCAGAGGCCAGGCAAGGTGGGGCTGTTGCCGGTACCCCCAAGGAAGGGACAAAAGAAGGCAGGGAATTGAAGGGGGAGGGGGCTTATGGGTTTGGGGTGGAGAACAGGAGTCAGAAGTCGAGTGGGAATGTGTAGCTCTGCCCAGAGTTGTCAGGAGCACCCCCCCTACACACACACACAGGCAAGCCCCGCCCCGCCCCCTCCCTCCAGCACCTGGGGTCGGCCCAAGGCTGGGGCTCTTGGTACCTGTGCTTCTCAGGCTTGGGTCCACCAAGTCATCCGTGCTCAGAGTAGGGAGGGGGAACTGAGCACCAGCAAGGGAGTTCGGCATGGATTTGGGGCAGGTTGAGGCCAGCGCCTGAGGCAGAGCTGCTGGGAGGGAAGGCGAGTATGCCGTTTCCATCCTGCGAACAGCTTGATCTCAGGTCCTACCCATTCCCCTGCCGACCGCTGCTCACTCCCGCAGGTCCCTTCTTCCCCTGTCCACAGGGGAATGGCTCAGCGACCTTGGGCAGCTACCAGCAGACTCGTCTAGTTTGGGGATGCAGTGTGAGCCCTGGAATCCAGCTCCCTTGCTGGTCCCAGCTGAAGTTCTGGGGTGCCAGAAGTGTCTGGGAGAACCCCAGGACCTCCCCTATCAGATATAACCGGCGACTTGGAGGATGGTCACAGCATAGACTTTGGCATTTGATATCAAAGATGACTACTCAGCTTGATAAAGGCTCCGCTTCTCTGAGAATGAGGAGCAGGGCAGAAGCTCTTGTCCAGTCCACCCCAGGGATCTTCTAACCCACAGGGACTGGGCATGGCCACATAGCCCTTGACCCCAGCCCCCCTCAGGGATCCGTCGTGTCTCCCCTCCGGGCTCAGGACGAGGCCCTGGCCCTGGCTTCCCTGGGCCCCAGCCTAGTTCTAGGAGCTCCTACCTGGGTGGGTGGTGAGGGGTAGAGGCAGGGAGGCTTAGTGGGAGCGGCCGCAGGCCAAGGATCTGCTGGGCACCCACATGATCCCTGTGTATGGAGCCCCATTAATGTTTACCCAGGAGCTGAGGCCCCTGAGGGGAGACCAGCCTGGCCCCCAGGACCCTGAGGCTTCTTCAGGCCCTTGTCACCCAATGGCTGGAAGCTCCAAACCTCCAAAGCAATCATCCCGGAGTGAGGCGGGCCTCACACCAGGACAAGGGCACTGCAGGACTGGACACCGTGTCCCCAGCGGGTACCTGGGTCACAGCGCTCCATGCTGCTTGGGCAGGAGGTGCTGCCCCAAGGGGCTGCCAGGGAGCCCATCGAGAAGGCTCCGCCTCCCTCCTGTGCTCCTCTGAGTTTTGCAGATCTTATCAGGGTCACTTGGCTGGCAGGCAGGAGGGGAAAAGCCCTTTGCACCAGCAGGGCAGAGAGGACAGGGTTCCTCAGGTGGCCTGGGAAGGCGCCCAAGCCCTGAGGTCAGCAGGTTCAGATCCAGGTACAGGGTAGAGCTGGGCCCGGCAGGGCTCCCAGAAGAGGCCAGCAGCTGGCCTGGGCCTATGTGTCTGTCTGCAAGGAGGGAGGGTGGAGGAAGGCAGAGCTCCCCCATCCCCCCGCCACACGTCTGTTCCCTGTATGGCTCCTGACCAGTCGTTTGTGGGAGACCCTTTTGGGTGTGTGTGTGTGGGGTCATCCCCTCCCTGACTTCGGATGCAGGGCCAGGCTGTTTCCCAGGGGCCTTGCTAACTCCAGCCCCCTGCTGTGCTCACCCAGCTCTGAGACTTTGCCCAGAGTCCACTCAGCAAATTCCCTTCCCTCCCCATTCTGTTCCCCCACCATCCAGCACCTTCCCAGGGGCTCTGGAATATTCCTGCCCCACCTCAGGGGGTTGTCCATCACTGGCACCTCGGAATGACCTCTCTTGCAGCTACTAGAAAGCAGGAGGAACCTGGGGACTTGTGGTCTCAGGCAGGCCACCACGACCCCCTCCCTGGGCCCCAGAGCCAGTGCCACTGGAGATCTCCTTTGATGCCTGCTGAAGAGGAGGCTCTGTGCTGCTGTGGACCCTCCTGGAACTGGGCCTGACACAAGTAGGAGCTCAGAGGCCAATGTTGTGCCAATGAGACACATGGGGTCTCTGTGCAGGTCTGAGATGGAGGAGGTGTGTCCCCCTCTGGACACACCTCTGGGACGCTAGTTTTGGGGTGGTCCACTCAGACCGTGCAGCCTGGCCCCTTTTAGGGGACACACAGTGCCTAGGCCAGCGTGCAGGCGGTGCAGAAAGAAGCACCTGGGTCAGGCCCGAGCATGGGAGATCCCAGCCTCCCCTGGGGTCTCCTGGCACTATGGCTGCTGCCCACGACCTTTGCCTGTGGCCTGTGCTTCCCCGGGTGGCATCACGGGCCTCCAGGCTGAGGAGAGCGCACGGAGCTCGGCCAGGGCCGGTGGCGCGGGCAGCAGCTCCCCAGCGGCGAGTGGGAGTGCAGTGGCTCACGCCTCAGGGCTGGCAGGAGGGCACAGGCAGGGGCTCCTCCAGCCGGAGCAGCAGCGTCTGGGCTGGGGGAAATGGGGCTGGGGGCCCAGGGTGGGGCAGAGCCCCGTTGGCTGCCGCCTGATGGCGGTGCTGCCTTTGAGGGGGGCTGGGGGGGGCGGCTCGGCGTGCGGTGGCCCTCGTGCGGCTCTGACCGCCAAGAAGGCGGGCAGGTCCAGGTCGAGTGTGGCCACCCCTCCGCGGGGCGTGGGCGTGCTCTGCCGGCACTGCGGGCAGGGGATCCAGTGCTGCTCCTGGGCTGGCGTGTCCAGCCGCCGCACGCACGCCTGGCAGAAAGTGTGGCCGCAGTAGAGGCGGCGGGGCAGGTGCGTGGAGAGGTCGTAGGCCGAGTAGCAGATGATGCAGTCGTTCCTGGGGGCCGTGGGGATCACGGTGGCCCCCTCCTCCAAGGCCCTGGGGCCCTCGGGCTGCAACATCCTAGGGCACAGGTGCGGGGAAGCCATGGCCCACTCCTGCCCTAGTCCTCAAACACGCCCTCCCCCCCCCCAGCAGCCAGGGCCACAGGGCAGGCAGGTACCCCCACACAGGGGCAGGCCAGGCCCCGAGGACTTGGGCTCCGGGCTGGCCACCTTGGTGTCTGTGACCACTGGGTGGTACCCAGGACCCTTCTGCTCAGCGTTTCCTGGGAGACCTTCTGAGCCCCGCTTACCTGCAGCCACTCACTGGAAGGCCATGCCTGACTCCTGACAGGAGCGAGGCCGGAGCAGGGGAGGGGCACGGGGCCCCCGGGGGCTCCCTCCCTGGGCTCGCATTACTGGCCGGCAGACAGGCAGGGCCGCGGGAGGCAGGTGGTGCTTGTCCCTGCGAGAGTGGGCTCCCCTTTCAGCCACACAGCACCTGCAACTGGATCTGCCACACCACACACTGGGAAGGTGAGGGGAGCCTGCCCGCCCCCCCCCCCCCCACGCCATCCCAGTGCTGTCCCTCTGCCCTCTTCATCCTGCTCACCTGAACTCAGGCACTTCCAGACCCCCACACCACACACATGCATGCACATATACACAGGCTCAAACACCACACACTATGTGCACACACTAACACCACACACATACACGCACATGTACCCTCTCTCTCTCTGAAGTTCTCCTGCCCAGGCTTGGGTGGCACCACTCATATCATTTCCCGGGCCCTTCCCCAGGCTCCAGCCAGCCCTGAGCAGAGGGCACCTGCTGCTCGAGGCTCCAGCCTGGCTGGCTGTGTGGGCCCCTCTACCCCAGCACCACCTCACGGTCTCAGTGTCCAGCCAGCCCGGCCCCCAGGGGGCGCTCCCACACTGCGCCTCTCCCCTTCCCTTGGGTCTCCCCATTGGCCTCCAGCCAGCACAGCCAGCCAGGGAGGTGGCTCTCAGGTGAGTCTGATGGCCGCAGGCTCTGCATGGTGGGGGCCTGGCAGGACTGTCACACAGGCTGGCAGGGCCCTGGGACCACTCAGCCCTGCTGGGACAGGTGGTGGCAGAACAGCCCTCCTTGCTCCTAACTCACCCCCTTGGCAGCGTGCCCACGGGACTGGCCAGACAGGTTCGCATGCTGGCCTGGGTGGGGGCTGGCCGCACAGCCAAGTCATGGCAGGGACCTGCCCACCCGCACCCAGAGACCTCCACACACCGTGAACCACCCAGGCCTCGGCCAAGGGCTGGTCACGGGAGGACCTGTCTGTCCTGCAAGGCCAGCTCAGTTTCCGTCTTCATAGGGTGCTGTGCCTCACCACCCTGCCCCGGAAACAGAATGCCTGGAGCGAGCTTCTGAGCAACCTCCCTACTTTGGCATCCCCCTCACGCACGGTGTCCTACGCTTCTGAGACAAACAGATGGCACTAGGCACCCTCCTCCTCCCCTATGTCTTCAAGGCCTGGTCCTGGCAGCCCCCTGGAACCCCAGCCTAAGCAGTACAGCCCTGGATGTGCAGGAATTCGATGTTTCATGGAAAACCAGAAAAGCACCCTGGCTGACAGGGCGGTGACTCAGTGGGCAGGGTTCACCCGGGCTGCCTGGCTCTGCCCACTCCCTGAAACCCACCAGCCGCAGCCCCACCCACTGCGGCCCAGATCAACTCTCAGGGGCTTCTCTTGGGCCTCCCCTGCCCTGTGATGGGGCTTGGCCCTGCTCACTATCTCAGCCTCAGCCCAGGGAATGCAGGAGGGCCTGGGCAGGGCAGGGGGCAGACAGGAGACCTGAAGAGCAGTTTTAATGTGCCTATCACAAACAATGGCTTTCCATCTACTGGAAGATCTCACAGAAGCTGGGAGCTTGTTGGAGCGGTTTGTGCGAGTGCGTGTGTATGTATGTGAGCTGAGCAGGTGATGATGTTGTTCAGCCTGGACCGACCCCCCCCCAAAGGGGCCACCCACAAAGAAGTCACTGGCACCAAGCTCACCCGGCTTTATTGCCTAGACCCTGAAGGTGTGCTCGGGGCATCTGTGGCCCTACCATGGACAGTAACTGGGACTGTGGTTCAAGGGCCCCAGACAGGCCCCAGTCTCCGGCTGCACAGACGTCCCATGGCGGGGGAAGGGAAGTCGGGAAGCGGACGGCACCCATGGCAGTGTCTGCTCCTCGTGACCCCTGAGCAGAGGCCTGGGTCCGTGTGAGCGGGCGGGCTAGGAGACGACACAGCAGCAGCTGTGGCAGCGGCAGAATCTCGGGCAGTGGCAGCAGGAACAGCAAGGGCAGCAGCAGCAGTGGTGTGCAATGTCGTCGCCGCGGCCCACGGGCGGCGTGCCGGCGTAGGTCAGTCCTGCCGGGCGCTGCGTGCTGCTGTAGGGGTTGCAGGGCTGCTGCCAGGCCAGCGGACTCTGGTCAGGGACAGCCCCCTTAGCCCCCTTGGCCCCCTTGGGCTGTGGAGCCTCGGTGGGCTGCAGGAGGCGGGCTGGTTCTAGGGCACAGCACCCAGAGGGCAGAGGCTGCCTCTCAGAGGATGACGAGGAGGGAGCCTCCTCTAACTGCTGCCCCAGATCAGGCCGTAGCTGAGCCCGGGGGATGCTGATGTGCGTGTAGGGGTTCTTGACGACCATCTCATGGGGGTCCATGGTCCAAGCTCGGGGTATGGGCAGAGACACGGATATGGATGCTAGGGAGGGAGAGCACCACCTGAGAGCCAAGAAAGAACCTCTGTAGAGGATGCCTGCCTTGTCCAGCGTCACATCCCAGGTACCGAGGCCCTGAAGGTGCAGACACCGTTCCTGAGTGAAAGGCCCGAGTCCTGGACCTAAAGGGCTGCGCCCGGGGGCCGGCTGCCCGGTGCCCCGGCGCTCAGCACTCACCTGCGGTGACGGCGGCAGCAGGCGCAATCTGTCCTCCCAGTCCTCCAGCTCCGGGCCCAGTGCCGGTGCCTGGCAGCCGCCTTTTCCCTCCTCAGGAGGAGGTGGGGCGCTGGGGCGGAGCCAAAAGACGGGGTTCGACACCCCGAGAGGCCCCAGCACCTGGAGCCCAGCAGCACGCCCCTCTGGCTCAGATGGGTGGCGGCCGGGTCTGGGCTGAGGGGCCCCGGCCAGCCCGGGTGACTCAGCCGCGACGCACCCAGCGGGGCCCCGGCCCC